CACGCTCCCCCCTCCCTCATGAGCCCTTGATAATTTATAAATTATTATTTTGTCATATCTTCTTTTTAAATTAAATTTGTTGGCATTTTGCCCTTCCAGGTGTGAAAGTGTACACAGCAAATTAGATTTCCATTGGACAGTATCCACACAAATTCATCAATGAAGTTAGTTACAGAGGTCACACCGCGTCAGTGTGTTTCTATTTCATTGTGTCTGGTTGTTCCTTTGCATTAGTGTAAGTTTTGATTCAAGGTTTAAAGTGCACCCTGGGGCAGTAGACTGGAGACTCCGATCTCAGGTGGGGCCTTTAAAAAAGGATTTGACTTCATTCTTCCAGTGGTCGGGATTAACTGTTGTGTCCTCAGGCAGATCAGCAGGCACCTTTTCTTTCTTCTCTACTCCCATTGTTGAGCTGTGCCTAGCAGTTATGTATGTAGACTCTAGACTCATGTTTTCTCTGTGGTTTGAGTTCCCTCCTTACTCCTTTGCTCGGCGAGAGGAAACCGGTAGTTGTATCTTAGAGACTGTTCACAAGCTTGAAAGACCCCTAATGCTACTCTGAAGTTCAGCATTTTTGATGTTTGTTTTTCCTGTTTAATGAATGGTCTGTTCATTTCCTTTGCTTACTGACATCTTACCTAAAAAATAAATGATTCTACTGCTTGTTCATATGAAGGATCTTAACTCTCTGAGTCATGTTTTTCTCCGATTTTTTTGTCTTTAATGTACAGAACTTTTTACAAGCATTTCTGTGGTAAATGATGTGGGACGCTATTCGACCTCTCTTGCTTCCCTATTGTCAAGAAGCAGGGGTCAGAAATGCATCTTCGCGCCATCTTTCTATATTCTGACACCAACCGTTCTTCCCCCCAGCACTCCACTTCTCTGCTGGGTGCGATCGCTTGTTGTAGTGGCCACAGCTCACAGGCAGTCCTCACGATTATGGGCGCTTGTTAAGGGAGTGAATAGGTTACCACAAGTCAGGGTCAGTAGAGAGTAAGGATACAGCCATTGGTCCACAGCAAGACCTCTCCTCACCCAGCAGCCAAGTCTCTCTGGGCCTCTCAGACACCTGGTCCCTTGGCCTGTCCTCCATGGACCAGGAAGCCTGTGTGTGTGTGTCCTCTACCGGACAGTGCCAAAGTCTCAGCACTGCCCCTCTCGCTCTGTCCCATAGTCTCCATGCCCCCGTCTTTGGTGCCTCTGATTTCGACCTCTACCACACCAGACAGATCTGGAATGTGCTCTTGCAGTGGTCCTGGGATTTCTCTCTGTGTCAGAGATCGCTCTTATACACAGAGGAACGGCTTTGATGGTGGTATAGATTTTGACTGTTAGTGGACCATACCCCCCACCCCCAAGGAAAATGAAGAGTAGTATCTTAAGGCACATCCTCTAGCAAAGCCAAAAACCAAAGTCACTTCCATCATTTCGTTTCTGACTCACAGTGACTGTACAGGACAGAATTGCCCCTGTGGGTTTCCGAGACTTTAACTCTTTCTTGGAGTAGGAAGCCTCGGAGCAGGTGGTTTCAACCCAACACATTACGCACTGTACCTTGAGGTCACCTGCCCTTAAGGAAAGCAGAGTTTAAAGTTAACCCCCAGGAAACAAAGGGTGTGGCATGGATGATATCCCTCTGTTAAGGTCAAGACAGTCCAGCTTAATCCTGGCCATTCACATCACAAACTCTCTCCAAAATGGGATTACAGCCCTGTGTTTAGAATCCAGAGTTACAATGCATCACATAAGGAATTATGGCCAGAAGGGCCATATTAATTGACTACATCTCAATTTCATTTGGATTATTCATGATAGTTATGGTCTATAAAGTCAACACAGACACTGAATTACTAAATACTGAACCATTGCTCCAAGGGAAGTACATGGTTAAGTTTCTGTGAACCTCTGGTCACAATATTTTAATCAACCCCTCAATATATAGCAGCATTTTTGTGTGTGTGCTTCTCTTTAAATATTTGATTTATGGGGAGGGAGGGAGAAAAATGAGCTGATGCCGGCGGGGGCTTAAGTGGAGAGCAAATGTTTTGAGAATGATGAGGGCAATGAATGTACAAATGTGCTTTACACAATTGATGTATGCATGGATTGTGATAAGAGTTGTATGAGCCCCTAATAAAATGATTTTAAAAAAAGAAAGGGATAAAGGAGCAGAGATTGGAGGGACCCAGCAGTGATGAAAGCTTGGTGGTGTCAGTTACCCACGGTGCTGCGACCTGCACGTGCAGCAGTGAGGAGGGCACCAGCCGCACGCACGAGAAGGGGCAGTTCTGGAAGCTCACCGGGGAAGTTCCACCCTGCCCTATAGGTCGAGATGAGTCAACATGGACTCCACGGCAGAGTTTGTGTTTTGAGAGTGGTTAGGAACTGGGTTGGAAACCACAAGGCCAGCTGTTGGAAACCACCAGCTGCTCTTCAGGAGAAAGATGAGGCTTTTTTTACTCCTGTCAAAGAGTTAGGGTCTTGGAAACTCATCGGGGAAGTTCTGTCCTGTCCTACAGGATCGTTATGAGTCAGAATTGACTCGATGGGAGTGAGTTTGGTTTTTTGGTTTCTACCAGCACTAATAAAGGAGGGCTGGGAACAGTGTGTATCCTTTAGACCCGGGGTCCCTGCGGCTGGGCACTTCTGATGTACAAGAGAATGGGATGTCCAGATAGGAAGATCTCCAAGGAGCACCAGTTGAAAGGTGTTGAAAGGGCAAGGACCACCCTCCTCGTCCCCCAAGCCAACAAAGAGGACCATTCCCCAGAGCCAACCAAGCCCTGGGACTGGCACTCTAAAGTCAGCTTCCTAAAAGGTGAGAACATAAACATGTGTTTGTTAAAGAAAAAAAAAGATACATGATTTAATATACATTGTTGGTGGGTTCATACTGGTCCCATGTCCAGCAGCACTGTAATGCGTGCCTGAACCTTTAAGAGCCTGTAGTCAGTTCTCATCGGTCACAGTTAGTTACATTCTATAAATTCCCTGTGGACTGAATTCACCCCAAACCTGCCTTCCCCATCATTGCTGGGAACACGTGTGCTACTCTGTATGTTTACCACCTAAGATGACCCAAAACGTATCATGAGTACCGATTTGGGAATTTTGCAAATATAGTTTAGCAAGTAGATGAATTAAGAAATACAGAATCTGCTATGAAAAATGAGGATCCCGTGGTATTTTCTCCCTGAGGCACATTGCAGCCCTCTTGTGCCCAGGGCACGAGTCAGCACTTCAACATCATGCCTGGCGGCCCCTGGAAGCTTTAAACCCACAGACAAAAAGCAGAAGTGCAAAAAGTAGAGCAGTGAGTAGACTGCAAAACGGACACTTGTTTGCCCGTAGAGGAGTGAAATAGGGCAGTTTTGCTGTGTTCGGCTGCAGCTGGGGGCCTTCACATAGAATGACTATGTTCATGAATTCCACAGGTTTTAATTTGGGGGTCACAAATAGAATTTAGCAAGTAGATGAGCTTGTAAATATGGAATCCGCTAACAATGAGGACCAAGAAACCTCACTGCTACCAAGCCTGTTCAATTCATAGTGCCCGTATCTCAAAACTCTTCCATTAAGTCGATGCTCCCACTGTGAGCTTCTGAGCCTGTAGCTGTTTACAAGAGTAGAAAGCATCATGGTCTCTCTGGGACGCTATTTTCGAGGCGGTACATCTTACTGGAGCAGAAAGTCTCTTCTTTCTCCTGAGGAGCACCTGGTGGGTTTGAACCATTGCCCTTGTGGTTAGCAGACCAATGTGTAACCCACCACACCACCATGGCTCCCCAATGAAAATCACATGTACTCAGAGTTATTTGGTTTTGCCCTTTTGATTTATTTCTTCCACAAAGATAAATTTCTCTAGCTCTTTTGAATAGATTTCTTAACCTTGAGTTGTACACACTGGGGGTGTTTAAAAGACTGTAATTACACAAAATATGTAAAAAGGTTTTAAAATGGGTTTCTTCAGCTCTGTTTAGTAGTAGTTCATCCCTTCATGAGTTATTGGTTGCTTTGTGTCATGAAGAGATCCTGAGATCTCTTTGGGGGCAATCTTTTTGTTCCATCAGTTTAATTTCGAACCTTTCTTTTGATCAGTGCCACTGTATATTTTGTTGATAAGTTAATGTTTGCCTAATGTCTGATCTAATGTTTCCCTCATTGTCTTCCTTCCTCTGCTTTCTTTTCTAGTGTGGTGCTTTGATTCTTTGCCGCACATGCAGACTCCGATGGGAATCATAAATCCCGTCACTAAACTGGCCACTCCTTGGATCAAGAGAGCAAGTTCTAGGTTTTTGTCCTTAATGTGGCTTGATTGTTTTCCCTCTGGACAAGTTGGTTAACTTTCTACCCTTCAATATCCTTACCTAAATACTATCCATTCTCCTCAAAGTCAAGGTCAATTCTGTGTCACTGAAACCCTATAGAGCTGAGTAGAGTCTTTGTAGGGTTTCTAAGATGGTAATTTTCAGCAGACAGCCTGATCTTTCACTTGTAGAGCAGCTGCTCGGTTTGAACTGCCAACCATATACTTGCAGTCCTGTGCTTAACCCACTGTCTTACCAGGACTCTGTAGGTATCTAATAGATTGCTTTTGTATGTGTTGACTTCTATTACTATATGATTATTTTAAACTATTTTATGTTAAAGCATTTTACTAATTTTTATTAATTTGGACAGAATTGTAGTTTATTCTCTTGGTTTCTGTAGGTATACTTTGCTCATCTATTTTATGCCTTATTGGGTTGACTATAGCATTGGGACTGAATTTTACAAAAGTACCACAACCAATTTATATGGAAAATATTTGCCATTATTTGATGAAGTCTTACATCATTCCATATTTATGCCCCTCCTCTGACCCACAGATTTACACACACTTACCTACATACCACAGATTGATTCATTTGGAGAAAACGACTTGGTTCGTATTACTCTAGGTTCTGGTTCGTGCTTGTTTGACTCTTCGCAGGTGGCTGAAAACAATGGAATGGCTGGATTCTCTTCCTCTTTGTGATTCTCCCGGGGATGATGAGTGACTGTAGCTTCACGGGAGTCGCTGTCCATTTGGAAATCATTGGTAGATTTTTATTCCTTCTTTATGCAACAGAATTTTCCGTCCATTTGGAAATCATTGGTAGATTTTTATTCCTTCTTTATGCAACAGAATTTTCCATCCATTTGGAAATCATTGGTAGATTTTTATTCCTTCTTTATGCAACAGAATTTTCCGTACAATTGGCTGTTAGTATTTCAAAAGATGGTTTTGCTGCCTATTTAAAATAGAGGCCACGTGTGCGAGCCCTTTGAATTCCTTGCGGTGTTGCTTACAAACTTAAAGCCACTCCTCACCCACGGGTAGGAAAGGCCGTTTACACAGGAAAGATGGCTGAGCAGGTGGAGGGAGGCCCACCTGACGTTTGGAGAGCTGTCGCCTCTGGTTTTGGTTTTGTCAACCATACCAGACAGCCGACCTCTCGGAGCAGGCGATGGTTGGATTAATGCAGGTTCAGGGCCTGTGTAGGGCAGAAGGGATGCAAGAGTCAGACCAAATGCTTGGTTGAGCTCATGTACTGTACTACAGGGCCGATGTTAAGGACAGAAATGATGCCCGGAAGAAAAGACTAGAGAAGAAACTGCTGCTTGTTTGAAAGGTTTGGCACATTGTCTGTTATGTTGCTTGGATCCACCTGTTGCAGGTGCTCGGAAAACAGCCATGACAGAGCACTTGGCACCTGGATTGGTTGAGATCAATATTTTTTTTGTGAAGAACTTTTTCAGCTCCTACAAATTCCACACTTTTTCTTTGGCGTCACCCATCTCTCCCCCAGAAAGATCTACCCCCAGACATTACTAATAGCGTAAAAGAATCCTGAAAGAACTTAGGACCTGTATTTATAAAATATGTCCCTTCTTTCAGAGTGAAGTTGGCTCCCAGTAGGAAACATTAGCTTGGGAAAAGTCACGATCATGGGATTCTGCTTTCTATTTTTCATATATATTTTTCTCCTTAGGAAGATCCATTTTTAAAAACATTGTTCAAATTTTCAGGATAAAGGGGTGAGATTATTAAAAGATGGTTTACTGTAACGGATGTGAAGTGGCTATTTTTGAGCTGTTATGTAAGAGGTCTGGGTATTATGTTTTTATCCACATGAGCCTGGATTAATGAGCAAACCGTTTGCATAATTTACAAATTAACTGGGACACTTTTTACACTTCACTGTCTACGCTGCAGACATTTTTTGACAAGTTGGTTCACCTAAGGCTACATTAGGCTTTCTCATTCCTGTAGGATCTAGTGAAGGCTTATGGTTGACCATGCACAGAGCATAAAGTAGTTGACAGAATTTGGTCTGACAGCTGTACAGTTATGTAACAGGAGCTTAAAAACAATGGAAAAGAGGGACAGCGTAGTGATGTACTAACCTCGGTTTTCTTCTCTGGAACCTTCTCACCCTTTCCCTCTCTAAATTGTACCAGAACTTCAATGAGGTTCCCTTCAATTAGTGATCTACACAGACTCTGAGAGCCATAGTGCAACCCCGAGTATATCTCATCTGAATGTAGAGACCCCCTCAAGAAAGCATGTGGCACCTTGAGCTCTAGCGACTGA